AGTCCCGATATACAAGAAGGGGGATAGACAGGAGGCACTGAACTACAGGCCAGTGTCCCTAACCTGCATACCATGCAAGCTGATGGGGAAGATTGTAGATTGTGGAAAAAAAAAGCTAGTGGACTATCTGGAGCGAAGGAACTTTGTAACACAGCATCAACATGGGTTCAGGGATGGCAGGTCCTGCCTCACAGGATTAATTGAACTCTATGACCGGGCAACAAAATTCAGGCAAGAAAGAGAGGGGTGGGGAGACTGTATATTTTTGGATTGCCAGAAAGCCTTTGACACAGTACCACACAAGAGGCTAGTGTATAAGCTGGAGATGCAGACAGAAGTGAAAGGGAAGATACTCCATTGGATAAGGGAGTACCTAAGGGATAGAAGACAGCGAGTCACTGTGAGGGGTGAGTTCTCAGAGCCTGCGGGCCGTTCCAAGCAACAGCCTAGTGGACCAAACTCTCACAAGTCAAGCCTGGCCTCGGGCCGGGCTTGAGGAGTAGAAGAACTCCCAGAACCCCATCAACCAGGTATCAACCAGAGCGGCGAGGCGTCAGCAGTGGACTCCCGCAGGGTTCAGTCCTTGGACCTATACTGTTTCTGACATATGTAAATGATCTCCCAGGGGATATAGAATCTTTCCTCTCATTATTTGCTGACGATGCAAAAATTATGAGGAGGATTAAAACAGAGGAAGATGGTATGAGGCTACAAGATGACCTAGACTGACCGAATGAATGGTCCAACAAATGACTACTAAAGTTCAACCCGAGTAAATGTAAGGTTATGAAACTAGGCGGTGGAAACAGGCGGCCAGAGGGGAGGATTTACAGGATACAGAATGGGAAGGGGAGTACAGACTGTGCCAAGAACTAGCTACCCTAGACTATATGAAAGGAAGTACAGAGTGTGTCAAGAACTAGCTGTCCTAGACTATATGATGGGGAGTACAGAGGGTGTCAAGAACTAGCTACCCTAGACTATATGATGGGGAGTACAGAGTGTGTCAAGAACTAGCTGCCCTAGACTATATGATGGGGAGTACAGAGTGTGTTAAGAACTAGCTGCCCTAGACTATATGATGGGGAGTACAGAGTGTGTCAAGAACTAGCTTCATTAGACTATATGAAGGGGAGTACAGAGGGTGTCAAGAACTAGCTACCCTAGACTATATGATGGGGAGTACAGAGTGTGTCAAGAACTAGCTGCCCTAGACTATATGAAGGGGAGTACAGTGTGTGTCAAGTACTAGCTCCCCTAGACTATATGAAGGGGAGTACAGTGTGTGTCAAGAACTAGCTGCCCTAGACTATATGATGGGGAGTACAGAGTGTGTCAAGAACTAGCTGCCCTAGACTATATGAAGGGGAGTACAGTGTGTGTCAAGAACTAGCTACGTGATTGTAAAACTCTCCATCACACAGGATGGTTAGTCATACAGGGCAATGTGATAAGTAGTCTGCAATGGCAAATTTTAGGTGCATTATGAGGATATCATAAAGAACAGGAGTTAATAAAGTAATTGCAAAGCTCCAAGTACCTCATGCCAACGGGTTTGAAAGGTCTAATAACTGGGCATTCGGTGATGTAGTGTGGGAGATCATGCCGCAGTTCCTGCTCACAGAGTTTGCAACTGGAGTGCTCAGGATTGGTAGACCCGTCACCTGTAGCCACCTGCCACAGGTAACGGTAACCCAACCTGATCCTGGCAACCACTGTGTCGCACAGTCTGGTCCACGTTTTGTGCTGTCCATAAACACAGGTTTCGGATCTGAACAAATCATAGCTTTTCATACTGGTGCTTTCAGGTCGTTGGGAGTCAGTAATATCTCTCCTATCAGACCTGAGTGATTGGAACAGTATAATCTAGCCAGCAGAGATGGGAATACCTAGGTCTAATCCACCTTATCTTCGTTACACGCTAATTTGGCTGCAGTGTGTCTGTCATTATGATGGGTTATATTTATGTGTGATGGTATCCATACAAAGGGGATTCGAAACCTTTTGCTCCGTGCAGCGATCAGGTTATTTATAAATGCTAGTACGAGGTTCTTACTGTCGATCTTGCAGGAAAAGTTTTCAATTGTTTGAAGAGCAGACTTTGAATCACACAATATTATTCCTTCAAAGCTTCCCAAAAAATTCTACAAAACTACGGTAGCCCGGGTCAACACTCCGGGTCAACACTCCGGGTCAACACTCCGGGTCAACACTCCGGGTCAACACTCCGGGTCAACACTCCGGGTCAACACTCCGGGTCAACACTCCGGGTCAACACTCCGGGTCAACACTCCTGTACGCCCGGGTCAACACTCCGGGTCAACACTCCGGGTCAACATTCCGGGTCAACACTCCGGGTCAACATTTCGGGTCAACACACCGGGTCAACACTCCTGTACGTACTGTTCTGATCCTGTTTAACGTTCCTCGTGTTTTTTGTACACATGTGTGTACAGGAGTAGACGACTACTGACTCCTGTTAGCTGGCTGAGAGCTTCCCGCCCCGTAGCTCAGTGTATAATCAGTCCTCCTAATAGAACGTCACATTTTGACGTACTCTCTACCTAAGGCCAAAATTTTTCGTACTACAAAATAGAAGCGGCTCGTGAAATTGACATACTGTTCCATTTTCTGCTTTTGGTCCTCTGGTCGGTTAAGATAAAGGCACTTTAGTATGGCAGTTTCTTGACGTAAAGAAACCTTACGAGGACGGTTAGCATAGTAAGCTAGTGTTCCTTGGAATACGATCCAGTGAACAGGGGCAAACAGTTAAGGATTGGCACCCAGTCAGTCCTCCCTTCTTGAGGTTACCTTGAGATGATTTCGGGGCTTTAGTGTGCCCGCGGCCCGGTCCTCGACCAGGCCTCCATTCCCAGGAAGCAGCCCGTGACAGCTGACTAACACCCAGGTACCTATTTTACTGCTAGGTAACAGGGGCATAGGGTGAAAGAAACTCTGCCCATTGTTTCTCGCCGGCGCCTGGGATCGATCCCGGGACCACAGGATCACAAGTCCAGCGTGCTCTCCGCTCGGCCGACCGGCTCCCTATTTGGCTAGGACTCGAACCCAAACGTGTGCGAGGGGGTCCTGTGACACCTTTGCCGTGCTCTTCTTTATGTAATTACCTAGGTGTACTCACCTAACTCAGTCTGAGGGCTTTGAACTCTTCTTCCTGGGCTCTTCTGGGTTCCTGGGCTCTTCTGGGTTCCTGGGCTTTGTTCCTATTTAACTTTACGTCAAGAAGCGTACATTAACAATGTAGTCAACCTTATTATGATCCCCTTTAGGACCTAGGCCAACAAGTGACCTTCAGCATAACACCAGCCACAACAGTCGCCTGACTCACAGGCACCAGACATCACGTGTCAGGAAAAGTCACGAGTTGTGTGTAAATTGTCTTTCATCCACAATCAGGCGGCTGGACACACCAGCGCTTGGACGACGGTGTGAGGCCGGGCTGACCCTTCACAACACGGTGTTTCGTGCTTCACGTACGGTGACACTCGCAGCCCGTCCTCCAAACATACACCCAAAAGTCCATTCCATCCACCCGCCAAACCCCAGCTGTTTATGAATGAAAAACGGTTTACACACGACTCACAACTGCTGACGTCCGAACACTTCCGGAACAAGTGCTTCACTGACGACTTGTGTTCGAACCACAACGCTGTAAATGCTTCACCCACGTACTACAAATACAAATAATCGCCAACAGAACCTAAACACCTAACCTAACCTATGCCTATATATATGCACAATATGTTAATATATTACAATATTAATTTATATTTGAGAAAATCCCCGTTTTGAATGAACAGCATGTAAAAATATATGAATGCGTCTGTGGGGTCGACCGCTGGATGGAATGGACTTGAGTCGAGGACGGGTTGGAAACTCGATGAAACGTTGATCTGTCCTGGTGTTGAAGAGCGTTACTGTAACTGAAACACTGCCTATCAGGGTTCACCCCGACCCGCCACAAGCTTAGTGCGCGTGTAGAGTCCAAGGCTTATCTTGGGGTTATCTTGAGATGATTCACGAAACGGACAGAGAGAAAGATCTGGGAGATGATATGACACCAAACCTGTCTCCTGAAGCCCACATCAAAATATTAACAAAGGCGGCGTATGTGAGGCTGGCTAGCATCAGAACTGCCTTCAGAAACCTGTGTAAGGAATCATTCAGAACCTTGTACACCACATATGTAAGACCAATCCTGGAGTATGCAGCCCCAGCATGGAGCCCGTACTTTGTCCAGCACAAGACGAAGCTGGAAAAAGTTCAGAGGTATGCCACTAGACTAGTTCCAGAACTAAGAGGCATGAGTTACGAGGAAAGGCTGAGGGAAATGCACCTCACGACACTGGAAGGCAGAAGAGTGAGGGGAGACGTGATCACTACCTACAAAATTCTCAGAGGAATTGACAGGGGTAAATAAAGATAAACTGTTTAACACGGGTGGTACGCGAACGAGGGGACACAGGTGGAAACAGAGTACCCACATGAGCCACAGGGACGTTAGAAAGAACTTTTTCAGTGTCAGAGTAGTTAACAGGTGGAATGCATTAGGCAGTGATGTGGTAAAGGCTGACTCCATATACAGTTTCAAATGTAGATATGATACAGCCCAGTAGGCTCAGGAACCTGTACACCAGTTGATTGACGGTTGAGAGGCGGGACCAAAGAGCCAGAGCTCAACCCTCGCAAGCACAACTAGCTGAGTACCTACACCACCAGTGTCACATCTTAGTGACCTCACCTCCTACACACCACCCATAACACACAACATCTTAGCTTTTAGCTTCAGGTTAGCTCATAATAACAAATGGTTGGATAAGTTGAGTCGGTTTCAAGAGCAGCGATGACTTAGAGGTCTTAGTCTCCCAGGACTTAGACGCTAATCTAGCGAGGGGAGTCAAGTCCCTCCGATATCTCCACAGTTATCTTGAGGTTATCTTGAGTTATCTTGTGTTCGCTGGTGTTCTCCAGCGTGAACAACAATGGCGCTTGTTCCGAGTGTAAAACTGAGAGGCGTTGTTCAGCGCCTCATACTGACTGAGGGCAAAAATTCAAGTCACCTTTCAAGGTGTGAAATGGTTTCTCTTCTGAGAGGGTGAGTGCAGGAATGTTGAGTGCTGGTGCTCTGACACTCTCTCTAGGGAGGGAAGGAGGGAGGGAGGGGGGGGGGGTACAAGGGAGGAGAAAGGTAGGGAAACGAGACTGGTAGTGAGAGAAACTGAGAGTAGGTAAAGTGTTGACAGGGAGGGAGGGGGGGAGAGAGAGTGATAGGGAGGGAGAGGGGAGGGAAAGACAGTGATAGGGAGGGGAAGAGGGGGAAGGGCAAGGCAATGATAGGGAGAGAGAGGGAGGGGGAATAATGATAGGCTTCAGAATCTATAATTTTTGAGACTTGGAGAGTAGAGGAGCCGCCCCCAGAGTTGCAGTATCGGGGGTACCAATACCCGAGGGTCGGTGTGGTACCGCTGACACAGAGACCAGTACCAGCGTAAGACGGTACACTACAAGGTACTAATATAAGATTAGAGACAAGGGAGGTACCACTACAGGAAGTGGGGTACCAAGTACCAACATCGGAGGAGAGACGGAAGCAACCGCTACAAGAGGGAGTACCAAGGAAGATATTAATGTGGGGGGGGGGGAAGAGATATGTTGGTACCTCTACAAGAAGGACGGTATCAAAGTTGGAGGATACCAATGTGGTACTAATGAAGAGACACACATTGGTATCTATGGTACAGTGGTCCCACTGATGAGTACCAGCCACGAGGCTTAACTCAACAGATACAACAGTGAAGGTTCAACTATGTGAGAGCTGACAGTGAAGGTTCAACTGTGAGAGCTGACAATGAAGGTTCAACTGTGAGAGCTGACAGTGAAGGTTCAACTGTGAGAGCTGACAATGAAGGTTCAACTGTGAGAGCTGACAGTGAAGGTTCAACTGTGAGAGCTGACAGTGAAGGTTCAACTGTGAGAGCTGACAGTGAAGGTTCAACTGTGAGAGCTGACAATGAAGGTTCAACTGTGAGAGCTGACAGTGAAGGTTCAACTGTGAGAGCTGACAATGAAGGTTCAACTGTGAGAGCTGACAGTGAAGGTTCAACTGTGAGAGCTGACAATGAAGGTTCAACTGTGAGAGCTGACAGTGAAGGTTCAACTGTGAGAGCTGACAGTGAAGGTTCAACTGTGAGAGCTGACAGTGAAGGTTCAACTGTGAGAGCTGACAGTGAAGGTTCAACTGTGAGAGCTGACAGTGAAGGTTCAACTGTGACAGCTGACAGTGAAGGTTCAACTGTGTGAGCTGACAGTGAAGGTTCAACTGTGAGAGCTGACAGTGAAGGTTCAACTGTGAGAGCTGACAGTGAAGGTTCAACTGTGTGAGCTGACAGTGAAGGTTCAACTGTGAGAGCTGACAGTGAAGGTTCAACTGTGAGAGCTGACAGTGAAGGTTCAACTGTGTGAGCTGACAGTGAAGGTTCAACTGTGTGAGAGCTGACAGTGAAGGTTCAACTGTGTGAGAGCTGACAGTGAAGGTTCAACTGTGTGAGAGCTGACAGTGAAGGTTCAACTGTGAGAGCTGACAGTGAAGGTTCAACTGTGTGAGAGCTGACAGTGAAGGTTCAACTGTGTGAGAGCTGACAGTGAAGGTTCAACTGTGAGAGCTGACAGTGAAGGTTCAACTGTGAGAGCTGACAGTGAAGGTTCAACTGTGAGAGCTGACAGTGAAGGTTCAACTGGGAGAGCTGACAATGAAGGTTCAACTGTGAGAGCTGACAGTGAAGGTTCAACTGTGAGAGCTGACAGTGAAGGTTCAACTGTGAGAGCTGACAGTGAAGGTTCAACTGGGAGAGCTGACAGTGAAGGTTCAACTGTGAGAGCTGACAGTGAAGGTTCAACTGTGAGAGCTGACAGTGAAGGTTCAACTGTGAAAGCTGACAGTGAAGGTTCAACTGGGAGAGCTGACAGTGAAGGTTCAACTGGGAGAGCTGACAGTGAAGGTTCAACTGTGAGAGCTGACAGTGAAGGTTCAACTGTGAGAGCTGACAGTGAAGGATCAACTGTGAGAGAGCTGACAGTGAAGGTTCAACTGTGAGAGCTGACAGTGAAGGTTCAACTGTGAGAGCTGACAGTGAAGGATCAACTGTGAGAGAGCTGACAGTGAAGGTTCAACTGTGACAGCTGACAGTGAAGGTTCAACTGTGACAGCTGACAGTGAAGGTTGAACTGTGAGAGCCGACAGTGAAGGTTCAACTGTGAGAGCTGACAGTGAAGGATCAACTGTGAGAGCTGACAGTGAAGGATCAACTGTGAGAGAGCTGACAGTGAAGGTTCAACTGTGAGAGCTGACAGTGAAGGTTCAACTGTGAGAGCTGACAGTGAAGGATCAACTGTGAGAGCTGACAGTGAAGGATCAACTGTGAGAGAGCTGACAGTGAAGATTCAACTGGGAGAGCTGACAGTGAAGGTTCAACTGTGAGAGAGCTGACAGTGAAGGTTCAACTGGGAGAGCTGACAGTGAAGGTTCAACTGGGAGAGCTGACAGTGAAGGTTCAACTGGGAGAGCTGACAGTGAAGGTTCAACTGTGAGAGAGCTGACAGTGAAGGTTCAACTGTGTGAGAGCTGACAGTGAAGGTTCAACTGTGAGAGCTGACAGTGAAGGTTCAACTGTGAGAGAGTTGACAGTGAAGGTTCAACTGTGAGAGCTGACAGTGAAGGTTCAACTGTGAGAGCTGACAGTGAAGGTTCAACTGTGAGAGCTGGCAATGAAGGTTCAACTGTGAAAGCTGACAGTGAAGGTTCAACTGTGAAAGCTGACAGTGAAGGTTCAACTGTGAAAGCTGACAGTGAAGGTTCAACTGTGAAAGCTGACAGTGAAGGTTCAACTATGAAAGCTGACAGTGAAGGTTCAACTGGGAGAGCTGACAGTGAAGGTTCAACTGTGAGAGCTGACAGTGAAGGTTCAACTATGAAAGCTGACAGTGAAGGTTCAACTGGGAGAGCTGACAGTGAAGGTTCAACTGTGAGAGCTGACAGTGAAGGTTCAACTATGAAAGCTGACAGTGAAGGTTCAACTGGGAGAGCTGACAGTGAAGGTTCAACTGTGAGAGCTGACAGTGAAGGTTCAACTATGAAAGCTGACAGTGAAGGTTCAACTGTGTGAGAGCTGACAATGAAGGTTCAACTATGAAAGCTGACAGTGAAGGTTCAACTATGAAAGCTGACAGTGAAGGGGGTTCAATCGAGAAAGAGTTAATTGAGAGTGAAGGGTGAGTGAGAGTGAGAAAAAAGTGAGAGTACACGTACCGGACAGGGCCAGGAGGAATCAACCAACATTTACGCATCTACTTACGAACCTGTCCATCTTTTCTCGACCTTTGGCGCCCTGGTGTATATTATATTTTACAGGTTATGAGCTCCGAAGCCCCGGGAGGCTCTTTATAACAATAATAACACATGACTGACAAGTTTCGATGTTTTTTAAACTGTTTTTATAAATGTAAACAAAGCCGGTTCGTAAGTAGTTCGTAAGTCGACGCGTAGGTGCTTGATGAATCTTGACGCCGAAGTACAAGTTAAGGGGCCAGATTCACGAAAGCACTTACGCAAGCACTTACGAACGTGTTCATCTTTCCTCAATCTTTGACGGCTTTGGTTACATTTATTAAACAGTTTACCAGCATGAAAACTTACCAATCAACTGTTGTTATTGTTATAAACAGCCTCCTGGTGCTTCGGAGCTCATTAACTGTTTAATAATTGAAAACAAAGCCGTCAAAGATTGAGAAAAGATGTACAGGTTCGTAAGTGCTTTCGTGAACCTGGCCTAAGGTTCCTAAGAGTGACTGAATGGGAGTTGAAGGCTGTGTCTCAGAACGATTAACTCACCGTCAGTTGAGTGGGTTGAAGAAAGTACTCGGTCAGTGTTGGTGGGAGGAGGCTTGTTATCTTGAGATGTTATCTTGAGATGAATTCGGGGCTTTAGTGTCCCCGCTGCCCGGTTCTCGACCAGGCCTCCACCCCCAGGAAGCAGCCCGTGACAGCTGACTAACACCCAGGTACCTATTTTACTGCTAGGTAACAGGTGCATAGGGTGAAAGAAACTCTGCCCATTGTTTCTCACCGGCGCCTGGGATCGAACCCTTGTATGCTGGGTCAAGGGTCATGTAGGTTCAGTGTCCTCGTCAGGAAAGATGAACCCCGAGCGCTTTATTGAGTCAAAACATATTCAAGAAATAGAGCTTCTGAATTCCTTGAAAATGTGTTGAATCACGAAAGCTCTCAGGTTAATTTACTTCATTTTTTCTATGTGGATACTTACACATAACTGAATCATGTGTTTTATGATTATTCTTACATACAGTGTGTGTGTGTGTGTGTGTGTGTGTGTACTCACCTAATTGTACTCACCTAATTGTGCTTGCGGGGGTTGAGCTCTGGCTCTTTGGTCCCGCCTCTCAACCGTCAATCAACTGGTGTACAGATTCCTGAGCCTATTGGGCTCTATCATATCTACATTTGAAACTGTGAATGGAGTCAGCCTCCACCACATCACTTCCTAATGCATTCCATTTGCTAACTACTCTGACACTGAAAAAGTTCTTTCTAACGTCTCTGTGGCTCATTTGGGTACTCAGCTTCCACCTGTGTCCCCTTGTTCGCGTCCCACCAGTGTTGAAAAGTTCATCCTTGTTTACCCGGTCGATTCCCCTGAGGATTTTGTAGGTTGTGATCATGTCCCCCTTACTCTTCTGTCTTCCAGTGTCGTGAGGTGCATTTCCCGCAGCCTTTCCTCATAACTCATGCCTCTTAGTTCTGGGACTAGTCTAGTAGCATACCTTTGGACTTTTTCCAGCTTCGTCTTGTGCTTGACAAGGTACGGGCTCCATGCTGGGGCCGCATACTCCAGGATTGGTCTTACATATGTGGTGTACAAGATTCTGAATGATTCCTTACACAGGTTCCTGAACGCCGTTCTGATGTTAGCCAGCCTCGCATATGCCGCAGACGTTATTCTCTTTATGTGGGCTTCAGGAGACAGGTTTGGTGTGATATCAACTCCTAGATCTTTCTCTCTGTCTGTTTCATTAAGTACTTCATCTCCTATTCTGTATCCTGTGCCTGGCCTCCTGTTTCCACTGCCTAGTTTCATTACTTTGCATTTACTCGGGTTGAACTTCAACAGCCATTTGTTGGACCATTCACTCAGTCTATCCAGGTCATCTTGTAGCCTCCTACTATCATCCTCTGTTTCAATCCTCCTCATAATTTTTGCATCGTCGGCAAACATTGAGAGGAACGAATCTATACCCTCTGGGAGATCATTTACATATACCAGAAACAGTATAGGTCCAAGGACTGACCCCTGCGGGACTCCACTTGTGACGTCTCGCCAATCTGAGACCTCACCCCTCACACAGACTCGTTGTCTCCTGTTGCTTAGGTATTCCTCTATCCACCGGAGTACCTTCCCTCTCACTCCAGCCTGCATCTCCAACTTTCGCACTAGCCTCTTGTGTGGCACTGTATCAAAGGCTTTCTGACAATCCAAAAATATGCAGTCTGCCCACCCTTCTCTTTCTTGCCTTATTTTTGTTGCCTGGTCGTAGAATTCAAGTAACCCTGTGAGGCAGGACCTGCCATCCCTGAACCCATGTTGATGCTGTGTTACAAAGTTCCTTCGCTCCAGATGCTCCACTAGTTTTTTTCGCACAATCTTCTCCATCAGCTTGCATGGTATGCAGGTTAGGGACACTGGCCTGTAGTTCAGTGCCTCCTGTCTATCCCCTTTCTTGTATATCGGGACTACGTTAGCTGCTTTCCAAATATCTGGCAGTTCCCCTGTTGCCAGTGATTTGTTATACACTATGGAGAGTGGTAGGCTCAGTTCTCTTGCTCCTTCCTTTAGAACCCAAGGGGAGATTCCATCTGGGCCTATAGCCTTCGTCACGTCCAACTCTAGTAAACACTTCCTTACTTCCCCACTGGTAATCTCAAACTCTTCCAGTGGTTCCTGGTTAGCTATTCCCTCACTTACCTCTGGAATTTCTCCTTGTTCTAAGGTGAAGACCTCCTGGAATTTCTTATTCAATTCCTCACACACTTCCTTGTCATTTGTAGTGAATCCTTCCGCCCCTATCCTTAATCTCATAACCTGTTCCTTTACTGTTGTTTTTCTCCTAATGTGGCTATGCAACAATTTAGGCTGAGTCTTGCCTTGCTTGCGATGTCATTTTCGTATTGTCTTTCTGCCTCTCTTCTCATCCTGACATATTCATTCCTGGCATTCTGGTATCTTTCTCTGCTCTCCAGTGTCCTGTTATTCCTATAGTTTCTCCATGCCCTTTTACTTTGCTGCTTAGCTAGCCTACATCTTTGATTAAACCATGGGTTTCTCATCTTCATTTCTCTGTTTTCCTTTTGGACTGGGACAAACTTGTTTGCTGCGTCCTTGCACTTCTGCGTGATGTAATCCATCATATCTTGGGCCGTCTTTCCCCTGAGCTCTGTTTCCCATGCTATATCTGTTAGGAATTTTCTTATCCTCTCATAGTTTCCCTTTCGGTATGCTAACCTTTTGGTTTCGGTATCCCTCCTCGAGTTCAATAACCCTTCTTCAATCAAGTACTCAAACACCAGTACACTGTGGTCGCTCATTCCTACTGGGTCCTCAAAACCGATTTCTCTTATGTCGGAGTCGTTCAGAGTGAAGACTAGGTCGAGTCTCGCTGGTTCGTCATTGCCTCTCATCCTTGTGGGTTCTCCGACATGCTGCGTTAAAAAGTTGCTTGTCACCACCTCCAATAGTTTGGCTCTCCACGTATCCTCGCCTCCATGCGGTTCCTTGTTCTCCCAGTCTTCCTTGTGTGTGTGTGTGTGTGTGTGTGTGTGTGTGTGTGTGTGTGTGTGTGTGTGTGTGTGTGTGTACTCACCTAATTGTATTCACCTAATTGTGCTTGCGGGGGTTGAGCTTTGGCTCTTTGGTCCCGCCTCTCAACTGTCAATCAACTGGTGTACAGATTCCTGAGCCTACTGGGCTCTATCATATCTACATTTGAAACTGTGTATGGAGTCAGCCTCCACCACATCACTGCCTAATGAATTCCATCTGTTAATTACTCTGACACTGAAAAAGTTCCTTCTAACGTCTCTGTGGCTCATGTGGGTACTCAGTTTCCACCTGTGTCCCCTTGTTCGAGTACCACCAATGTTAAACAGTTTATCCTTGTTTACCCGGTCGATTCCCCTAAGGATTTTGTAGGTTGTGATCATGTCTCCCCTTACTCTTCTGTCTTCCAGTATCGTAAGGTGCATTTCCCGCAGCCTTTCCTCGTAACTCATGCCTCTTAGTTCTGGGACTAGTCTAGTGGCATACCTTTGGACTTTTTCCAGCTTCGTCTTGTGCTGGACAAGGTACGGGCTCTATGCTGGGGCTGCATACTCCAGGATTGGTCTTACATATGTGGTATACAAGATTCTGAATGATTCCTTACACAGGTTCCTGAACGCTGTTCTGATGTTAGCCAGCCTCGCATATGCCGCTGACGTTATTTTTATGTGGGCTTCAGGAGACAGGTTTGGTGTGATATCAACTCCTAGATCTTTCTCTCTGTCCGTTTCATTAAGTACTTCATCTCCTATTCTGTATCCTGTGTCTGGCCTCCTGTTTCCACTGCCTAGTTTCATTACTTTGCATTTACTCGGGTTGAACTTCAACAGTCATTTGTTGGACCATTCACTAAGTCTGTCTAGGTCATCTTGTAGCCTCCTACTATCATCCTCTGTTTCAATCCTCCTCATAATTTTTGCATCATCAGCAAACATTGAGAGAAACGAGTCTATACCCTCTGGGAGATCATTTACATATATCAGAAACAGTATAGCTCCAAGGACTGACCCCTGCGGGACTCCACTTGAAACGTCTCTCCAATTTGAGACCTCACCCCTCACACTGACTCGCTGTCTTCTGTTGCTTAGGTACTCCTGTATCCAATGGAGTACCTTCCCTTTCACTCCAGTCTGCATCTCCAGCTTTTTCACTAGCCTCTTGTGTGGTACTGTATCAAAGGCTTTCTGACAATCCAAAAACTATGCAGTCTGCCCACCCTTCTCTTTCTTGCCTAATTTTTGTTGCCTGGTCGTGGAATTCAAGTAACCCTGTGA